TACCAACATCTAACTGATTGTTGATTTCACCACCAACGTTTCTTTGTCCATCCCCTCTATCTCTTCATAGTCCAAGACTCTGTCCAGACCCTCATCATTTCCCACTTTGACCATTGCAAAGATCTCCTAATTGGCTCCCCTTCACCCTAAATGTTCACCACTTGAATCACACCACCAGTTTTCCTCGTAAAACGTGATCCAGACATGGCCCTCTGAATACATGCAGGTCTGCTTTGCCCACAGAAAATAGTCCACCTCCTTAGCATAGCATTCAAGGGCCTCACACCGGTCTTTCCAGGTTTTTGTCTGTCTCCACCCATCATGTGCTTTTTTCTCTCCTCCAGCAGATCATTTCTCATCCCACTTATCTCCTTTCCATTTCCTGTCTTTATTTGTGCAGGGTTCCGGGAAGAACCTCTGCCCTCTAAGGTGCCTCCGGTCATGGTTGGGGCTGAGTGGCTGCTCACAGAATTCTCTCTTCCCTGGCACCTTGTAAGCTTTTTGAGAACAGGGAGTTTATTACTACCACCACTACCCTCCTCCAAACAACCTCCACTTCTGGTCTCAGGGGAAAAAAGTATTAAATTAGATGAATGTTATCAGTGCATTGCTGCATGCAAGATTCGTATTATGTTAGCATCTTCATGTAGGAAGACACAATAAAAATTATCTAAACCAATCTCTAACCCGATGCATAAATCCCTTTGGCAAAGCTGTTGCAGTTATCTATTGCTAAGTATTATAACAACAAGCTATCAGCAAAATTTAGTGGCTTAAAACACAAACATTTTATGTGCTTGAGATTCTGTAGATACTAGTTCGGCCGGGCTTGGCTGGGTGGCCTTTCAGCTTCACATTATGTCAGCCATGGTCGATTACTTGGCTGAGGTCACTGACTGGAAGAACCACAAAGGCTTCACTCATGTGTGTGGTGCCCAGGTGCTCCTTCATATAGCCTCTCTTTAGCTAGCCTGGGTGTCTTTGCAGCTAGCCTGGGAGCCTAGGGCAGGAGGGCTTCTTGTAAGGCAGCTTCCAAAAGAGAGCCTTGCCAGAGGGTGCAATCTGCTCTTATCCATCCTCGGAATTTACACACAGTCATTTCTACTGCACCCTACAGACCAAGGCTAGCCACAAGGTCACAGAGGCTCACCGGTGGGGAACCAGACCCCTCCTCTCAAAGGGAGGAGAGGCCAAGAATTTGCTGCCAGGCATATTTAATTCACCACTGAAACCTTCTCAGATACTGTTTCAGCCTACTCGTAACCACTTCCTGTGATGGAGATCCTGTCACAATACAAGGGAGGTTCATTTACAGACAGCTCTGCCAGCAAGTGGGGCCTCCCACGTGGTTCAGTGGTAACGAATCTGCCTGCCAAGGCAGGAGATGCAGGAGACACGGATTCTATGCCTGGGTGGGGAAGATCCCCTGGAGAAGGAAATGGCAAACCACTCCAGTATTCTTGCCTGGAGAATTCCATGGACATTGGAGCCTGGTGGGCTACAGGAATGTAGGAAAGAGTTGGATATGATTTAGCAACTAAGCATGGACGCACTGACAGAAAATATCTCAGCTCATTAACAAGGACCGTCCAGCCCCAATGTCTGATCTGATGTTCCTTAATGAGCCTTCCAAGGCCTCAAAGATGCTACTTGCACTTCTAAGGCTCCTCAAAGCAGACACACTTACTAACACATTTATATGTGTTCACACAGAAAAAAACATACAAAAAAAAAAAAACCCACACAATAACGATAACCTTTGGAAATAACACAAAAGCCTGCATTTGGGTTCCTCAGTGAACATGGGGCCTGGCCACATGGCTTTACTGATTCCTCCATAAACCCCAACACAGAGCCAGCATACAATTTCTATCCCTCGATCCTCAAGGTCCTCAAGGAGAGCATCAGAGAATCTCTGCTGGGAACCGACCCCCAAGACTCCAGCTCTGCCAAGCTACCCTCCCAGCATCTGGGACTTGGCCCACCTCTGGGGAGGAGGGAGCCCAGGGATTGGAACAGGTGATGCTCACTGCTGGAGACATGTGAAAAGTACTGGTTTTCTTCCCCAGTAGACTTAAATTATTGCTGTTTAGTTGCTAAGTCATGTTGGATTCTTTTGTGATCCTATGGATCGTGGCCCACCAGGCTCCTATGCAAAATCCAGCAATACAAACTAAGTATCTCTCCAGTGTGGATGGAATTTGAGCCACTACTATGGAATTACATCGTTAATTTCAATCAATGTAGCAATGATTTTTGTGGCTATGACAGGAAATGTCCTTCTTTGTGGGAGATGCACACTGAAGGGTTAAGGTTTGATGAGGAAGCTCCCAGGCCAATGGCAGGCATTGTTTTAAAATCTTGTTGGACCACAGTCTCACTCTTTTGTTTACATGTTGTCTGTGGCTGCTTTTGTGCCATGATGTCTTAGTTGAGTAGTTGTGACAGAGACAGCATGACCAACAGAGTCTAAAATATTGACTATCTGCTCCTTTACAGAAAATAGTTTGCCAACTCCTGGGTTAGAGAGCACTGTGTCTGCAATTTTCTCTCAAACTGTTTGACAGCAACAAAAAAGTGCAAGTATGTATACGTGACTGTGCGTGCGCCTGTGGGTATGCATGTGTGGATGGAGAAAGAAAAGCAAAGAGCATGAAATTGAGGCAAAATATTAATAATTGGTATATGTAGGTGGATAATCGGAGAAGGCAATGGCACCCCACTCCAGTACTCTTGCCTGGAAAATCCCCATGGATGGAGAAGCCTGGTAGGCTGCAGTCCATGGGGTCGCTAAGCGTCGGACACAACTGAGCAACTTCACTTTCACTTTTCACTTTCACACATTGGAGAAGGAAATGGCAACCCACTCCAGTGTTCTTGCCTGGAATCCCAGGGACGGGAGAGCCTGGTGGGCAGACGTCTATGGGGTCGCACAGAGTCGGACATGATTGAAGTGACTTAGCAGCAGCAGCAGGTGGATAATGTTAATATGTGAGTATTCACGTCATTTTTCTTTCCACTTTTCTCCAAGTCTGAATTTTTTTTAAAAGAAGTGTCTTGAGAGTAAATATTCCTTCACTTAAGAATGCAAAAGAATCTCCTAGAAAAAAAGTGCAACTCATGGGAAAGTTAAATAAGGAGACCAGTAACAATGTAAATCTATGGCTAGCAGTTGCAGTAGGTTTAAAAGTAATGAGCACAATCACGATAGCAATAAAAATATTAAACATAAAATTTAAAAGAAAAGAAACGTAGAGCACCTAAAGAAAACAATAAATTTAACCCAAGTCCAAAAAATAGAAGCCCACAAGAACATATGTTATTGAGAATGTTTGGGATTGGGTGGCCAGTGAATTTAGAGGTATTAAAAAAAAAAAAAACTGTATCAAAGATAAAAAAAGAAACTTTGGATAAAAGGAGGAACTTACCACATTCCTGAGTAAGATTTAATGATTCAATATTATAAAAAATGTTCATCTTCCACAAATGCAGCAATAGTACTGATGCAATTCAATGAAAACCATCACATGGTTTTTTTGGATATTAGGGGAGAAGAGGATACTGAGAAAATAATTCACAAGTAGCTCTAATGGGAAAAAAATGGATGAGATTAGCCAAGGACATTTTAGAAATGAAGAATAATGATACACTCTAACTTTAATAGATGGTAAAATTTATGTTAAAGTTACGTATAATTAAGCAATTACATCTGGCTCAGGAATAATCAGTCAAAGAAGAAAAATCCACAAAAGGATCCAAAAGTAAGTAAGAAGTAAGAATCAAGACAGGAAATCCAATGAGAGGAGAGAGGATGATTTACATAGTAAATGATGTTAGCATAATGGGCTAGCCATTTGGAATAAAATAAAGTGAGAGCCATATATCATACCACACAGCAAAGTGAAGGAAAATTGAGTACAAAGAAATGAAATCTGAAAAGACATATAAAGCAATGTAGGTTAGTATTTTTATAAGCTTGTGATGGTCTTTCTATGCATAAAACAAATAATAGAGAACAAGATTCATATAGTTGGCTAATAAAAACTTTAACCTTCTGTACATCATGAACCACTATAACCAAAATTAAGAAAACAGCAACAACAACACTGAGAAAAAATATTAACAACAGAAATGATATTAAAAGGCCAATGTCCCCATTCTCTAATCATTATAGGGGGAAAGTTTTTAAAAATTCAAAAATGGGCAAATGCCATTAATATACAATTCACAAAAATATACAACTGCTGAGATTCAGCATGATTCTTGTTTTTTTTTTCTTTTTGTTTATAGTATTTTCTGAGTTTTCTACCCCCTCAAAAATATATGATTCCTACATAGCCAAAAAAAAAAAAATCTCAAAATAGGAACCAGAAGAAAAAATATTAACCTAAGCTTTTTTTTCTCTTTTTAACCTAAGCTTTTTTTTTTCAGGAAATTTAAGCTTCTTGCTACAGGACTGTAAAGCTCCTTTATCAGCTCCAAACTCTGAGTCTCAGAATCAGCAAACTTACAATATCCTATCCTGAGCAGAAAAATTTACATTTTTCATTTCCTTGAATCCTCCAAAAATCTCAAGGAAAGTGTTGTTATTATGAATATTACAAACAAGAAGGTCAGAGTTCAGCAAGCTTCCCAAGGTCACACAGCAGTGAGCAATAGAGTTGGAACTGGATCCCATGCTGGTCTGACAACAGATTCAGCTCTCTTCAGGCCCCATTTCAGGACTCTTGGTTTGAGACGCAGAGGGCTGGGTTCTGATCCTGGCTCTGTCCCCAAACCAATCACCACTACACACAGTCTCTTCCCTATCTGACCCTCAATTTCCTAATCTGTACAAGGAGAAGTGAAATAGCCAAGATGGTATGTCAAGTTCCTTCCTACTCAGACATGTCTGATTTCTATTCTCATAAAGCACGCATTGGCCAAGGACTGGTCCAACCAGAGGTCAGCCTGGGGGTTGCAACAGGTGGCCTCACACGGACACCCAGGCACTGGCCCACCTTGAATTCCTCATGGATGCGCTCCTCCAGGACTTTGGCAGCTTTGCGGTCCTCCATCTCCACCTTCCACTTCTCTGCCAGGATCCGGGCTTTCTCATTGGCCAGAGCATCCCGGAACTTTGTGGTGATCTCTGCCTCCTTCTGTCTCCTTTCAAGAGAACACCCACAGGTATCAGGAGGTGTGGGAAGATAAGGGACCACACGCCAACAGAATTTCAAATAAAAACCATGCCCAATCATTCTTGGTCTATCAGAATGGCAAGTATCTGAGGTTCACAAATGTTGGCAAAGGTGGGGAAAAAAACAGTTTCTCTCCTATACAGGAGTGTACATCAGCAGAACTGCTCTGGAAGCCAGGAAAAAAATCTCAGGAATCCCATTTCTTGCTTGAGTTTACAAAGGTGTAGGGAGATACACATCAGAGGATTTTTATAACATTAAAAAAAGTGGCAAACAGCACAAGTGTCCCTCAACAGGACCAATAAGTTGGGTTCCTCATGTAATGGGAGACTACACAGTTATTTTGAATAATGCTGTGGTATCTACAGTAATCAATTTACTAAGGTGTGAATAAAGCACTCTACAGAGCAGGTTTTGCCCTAATGCTCATCATGCTTATCTGAGGTGATGGGTATGGAGTTGTTCTTTAATTAATTCTTTATAGTTTTCAATATTGGTTACATGTCACAATTTTTAAATTAATTTATTTTTTATTGAAGGATAATTGCTTTACAGAGTTTTGCTGTTTTCTGTCAAACCTCAACATGAATATATGTCACAATTTTATTATTAGAACATTGTCATTGGGCTTCCCTGGTGGTCCAGTGATTGGGAATCTGCCTGTCAATGCAGGGTACCGGGGTTCAATCCCTGGTCCAGACAGATCCCACATACGAGGGACAACTAAGCCCACGCGCCACACAACCTGGGCTCCAGAGCCTGCGTTCCGCAACAAGAGGAGGCGCCTCAATGAGAAGTCCTCTCGCTGCAAGTAGAGAAAGCTTGCATACAGGACGGAAGACCCAGTGCAGTCAAAAACAACAACAAAAACACTGTGATTAAAAATTGTGGGAAAAATGTTGGCACCGACCTCATACAAACTTCCAAGTTTAGCAAAAAATACATCATATGTTGTTTATGAAAGAAGTCTGACCCTGCCAGTATCAGTAGAGGCTTCAGTGTCCACCTTGTGTGAAAAACAGAGGTAACACAAAGACGAACAAGAAGACTTTAAGAGGGATATTCAAATTGCTCTGCTGTCCTAAGGACAACTCAGTAAGGGAAGAGGCCAAAGAATATCAAATGTATTATCTCAATAAAGCCAACTATATAAAAAAGGTGTTGTGGTACCCAAACCATAGATGTAGAAAACTGAGGCCTCAAATCACCTCCCCACTAAGGAGTGGAACCGGGACTTGAACCACAAGGTCTACCTGATGTAAGACTAGTTCTTTGGTCACCTAATCATAGCACAGCTCCAAACAGCCTGCCAGCTGCCTGGCGCCACCTCCTCATTCCCACCCATAATCTATTACCCTGAATTTGAACCCACCCCAAGCCTCCGTGTTCAGGCACCAACACCCGCCCCCCAACCTCAACACCCACTGGCACCTCTCACCAGAGTTCCTCGGCTTCCCGCTGTGCCTGCAGCCGCGCTCTCTCTGCAATCAGCTCCTCAGAGATCTCTTCATAGGGCTTGTCGCCGGGACCTTCTCCCATGATCCAGACCCAGACCTCGCCATCTGCCCCCAGCAGCCACTGGATGTGCTTGTCACTCGCTGCCTCACAACAGGTGGAAGAAAGAGAAGGAAGGAAAAACAAAAAAAGGTCAGAGTTGTAATGAGTGAGGAATGACCTGGGCTGACCAGGGGTGCACAACCATCACACCACCCTACAGAACATTGTCATCTGCAAAGAGGATGCCAGACAGAGATGACCTGAGTGCAGTTCCACATCCATCTTCCTCTCCCATTCCCTCTAGGGAGCAATATGGCAGCCAGGTCAGCCTGCTGGAACAAGTGTTCAGGGCTGGAACTGGTGTCCAAAGCCCAGAGACCCTGAGATCTTCAGCAGAGCGGACATCAGGTGACTCACTGAAGGAAGATGTGTCACTTCCAAGCCAAGGCTTCCCTGGTGGCTCAGATGGTAAAGAAGCTGCTTGCAATGCAAGAGACCTGAATTTGATCCCTGAGCAGGAAAGATCCCCTGGAGAAGGGAATGGCTTCCCACTCCAGTATTCTTGCCTGGAGAATTCCATGGACAAAGGAGCCTGGTGGGCTACAGTTCATGGAGTTGCAAAGAGTTGGACAATACTGAGCAACTAATACTTTCATACAAGCCAAGGCACTTCGAAGCCAAGGATCTTCTAAGTCTTCTCTCTCTCTCATCTCTCATATTTATCTATCATCTCCCCTGTCCGTTGACTGGAAGAAAAGAATTGGCGATGGTGGTGTTGCAAGATGAAGCAGCTGGCCCCTGAGTCTCCATGACCCACATCAACCCATAACCTGAGCAAGAAATAAATTTGTGTTGGATTAAGTCACTGAGATTTTTCAGTCTGCCTGTTCTAATAGATTCCATTGATAACCATGACTAAAATGGAGATCGACCCCAAAGTGGAGTACTGGCTGCAACAGGAATATCAACTGACTGTCACTGCTTTAGCAGTGGTGTTTAGCAGGCTGGCTGGCTGCAGATTCATGTGATGCAGGAGCAAAGTATCTGGTAAAGCTGTCAGACACTGTAACTTAAAATGGAGACCCTCATACTTCTGAACTTGTCCCTCTAAGACAGGAAGTTGGAAAACACAGCACTGGGAGTATGCATTAGTTGCTAGGCGCTGTGTTTGACAAGATGTTAAGGGAAAGAACTGAGTTCAAAAAAGAATTCAGCGGACTTCCCTGGCAATCCAGTGGTTGGGCTCCACTGCAGGGGGCACAGGTTCAGTCCCGAGTTGGGGAACTAAGATCCCACATGCTGGGTGGTGCAGCCAAAAATTTTTAATTAATTTAATTTTTTAATTTAAGTGTTCATTTTTTAAGTTAATTAATTTTAAGTTAATTAATTTAATTAAATTAATTTTTTAAATTTAAGTGTTTAAAAAAACAGAAAGAGTTGAGCCCAAGGTCATGCTCTCAGCCTTCGAGTGAGCATGGCAGGCTGGTTCCTGGGAGACATGAGACTCCTATGAAGGGCAACTCCTCAGAGACCATAACAAACCTTCCCTGGACAGCCTGGAACACCTCCACCCAACCTTCGCTTCCCTCTCCTTCACTCAAGGTCATGCCTGCACTGACTACAGCGCAATGGCTCTCCCAGCCTCCTCCAGCTCCCGGCCCTTTTTCTCTCACAGGTGTTTCCTGAATAAAACCCTTGTGTAATTGTCTCCCACCCTGTCTCTGCTCCTGAGAGAAGCCAGGCTAAAACAAGACATGAAGGGTGCAGTCTTTCACACGTATTTTTCAAAGAGCCTAAATGTAGAAGACCTTCAGTTGAAAAGTAGAGGCATGGGGTAAAGAGGCAAAGGAAAACAGGCAATTTTTGAAATACATCCAGAGAAGAATCTTAGCTGTTGCTCCTGGCACATGGAAGCAAAGAGATCAGAAGCCTACTAAATCTCTGCGTCTGGACTCAAGGACTTAAACAACTCTTGGGCACCCAACCTCGAGGACCAAGAGGCAGGTTTCAAAGGCTATATCTACATGGTCCAAGGAGGATGAGATTCTCTATACTCACTTCGGATGCAGCCAAGGGGAATAATGAACAAGGAGGAGGCTCCAGGGTACAGTCAGTGTCCATTCAAGGTCATCCTTTCACTGCCAGGGCAGGGGGTCCTCAGAGTCTGACCTGGAGGACTTCACGATGCTATAGACTAGTGACTAAGTGGGGCTCATACTCCCGCCTTTTCCACAGTGGACATTCGGACCCTGTTCCCCCACTGTGTATCGTGTCTCAAGGGTGTGAGGATGACATGTCTTTTGAGCCACATCAGGACCTTAGCGAGCCTAATGCCGTACACATGTGGACTGTGGACTCTGGGCTGATGCAGTGACCAGGTGAGACTTGCAGGCGCCCCCATTAAGGAGGCAGTGAGTGTATCTATGCAAAGAAAAACAAACGCATGGATGACTAGAATGACAGTTTGTGACAGTGACCACACTATGTCCAGCCCCCCACCTCCTCTCCCTAAGCCCAGCAGATGACCACTTTTCTCAGGTTCCCTTCAATTCCCTGGGGCCACATGACTGAATTCTAGTCTATGAAACGTCAGGGAAGTGACCTGTGCCACTTTCAGGCCAAGGCTGTGCCTTTTTCCACATTCTCTTTCCCATCCACCCAGCAGGAAGTTGACGACTCCAAGATGGTGGAGAGAAAAGCGGCCTGATCCACGAGTCAGTGTTCGAAGGCGAGCCATGCCACACTACCCAATCCACATCAAGCTGTGACGTAATCAGAACTAGACCTCCATTATAGTAACTCACTGAAATTTCGGAATTTATCTATTGCAGACGGCAGCATTAACTCCCCTGGCTGATATATAAAGGCATTGTTATCTTTTTAGTATGTTAAAAGCAATACAGTGCTAGAGGAATGTAAGTTTAATTATGACTCATAGAAGCAAGGAAGCAACTACTACTAGAATTGCAGAACTTCCAAATTAATAGTTGGCAAAGGTACATGATAATAGGTTTGTCAATCCTGTAAAAATAATTAGAAGGAAAAGAGAAAACAACAGAAAATGAGTAGCTATCATAGCAGGCACTATCAGTAACCTCCTCACCATCCATTCCAGCCACCTTCCTCCCTTGCTGCTACTGCTACTGCTAAGTCACTTCAGTCGTGTCCAATTCTGTGCGACCCCATCCCTGGGATTCTCCAGGCAAGAACACGGGAGTGGGTTGCCATTTCCTTCTCCAATGCATGAAAGTGAAAAGTGAAAGTGAAGTCGCTCAGTCATGTCTGACTCTTCGCGACCCCCTGGACTGCAGCCTACCAGGCTCCTCCGTCCATGGAATTTTCCAGGCAAGAGGACTGGAATGGGGTGCCATTGCCACCTCCCTTGCTAAAAACCCCAATTTGTTTGGGGAGTAACAAAAGATCCCTTCGTTTCAGGAAAGGCAAGTTTCTACTCCAGCCTCAAAGGACAAATGAAATTGGTCTAAACCCATCACATAATATTATTTTCAATGGCAAGTAGTCGACCTAGGAGTGACCAGTCATCCCCACTTTTGACAGAGAAGATGTGGGCAGAAGTCCCAGTGAAAGGGTTTCTTGTTCTAAACAAAAGGTGAACACTTCTTAGGAGAAATGGCTTCACTCTTTCCTCATTTACCTCCCCTCCTTCTTCTTGGCTGGAATGAAGAAGTGATGTCAGGAGCTGCTGGAGGACTTTTTCAGCCATGAGGAAGACAGCCACACACTAGAGATGAGTAAGCAGAAACGTGAGAGGAGATGAGGCCTTGACGATCTGACTGAGAAGCTAAACTAATCTATCCACTGCAGTACACCTCCAGACTTCTTATCATTTAGGAAAAATGAGGAACTCCAAGCAATAAAGTTCTTTAACTACTACACGAAATGTGGTAATACAAATAGGAAAGATTTATTTAATCAGGCAACTATTAATGGTGCATTCTGTTACTTACGGCTAACCACATTCCAAACTGATACAGAGAACAACGAAAAATAACACAGAAGCCCTAAACCCTAAGTATACTCATTAACACAAAAAGGGGAACAGAATTAAGTTCTCTATTAAAAATCTGAGACTGTCAGATGTAAATAAAAAGTAAAATCCAGACACTGCTTTGGGAAAGGCCAAGTATTCTCCTTACTGGCTACAAGGAATAATAAATCCTTGCATCTCCCAAGCAAAAAAAAAAAAAAAAGTAAAATCCAGTTCTGTACTATTTAAATATAACACACACGTAAAAAGGAAAAAGGTTAAAAATAGTCAGCAATAGGCTGTGCAAAGGCAAGCAGAAAGAAAGCAGAAGTGCCAATGTCAGACAAAACAAATTCAAGGACAAACATGTCAGACAAGGCAAAGAATATTATGTGATAATAAAAGATGCAACCCACAAAGAAGCTGTAACAGTCATAAAACTTTATACAACAAACAACATAGCAGACAACTGCATAAAACAAAACTCCTAACAACTCAAAGAGAATTTGAAAATATATATATACCCACAGTAGAGAGTTCTACAATATTTATTTCAGAAGCTGGCAAGCCAAATAGATTTTAAAAATTAATAATATAAAGTTTTTGAATAATATAGTCAATAAATTTTACTTAACAACTACAGAGCTTTACTCCTTAAAGTTTAAGAATATACTTTTATTCTTCTGATCTTGCAATTTGTGAGAAAAATGTTACAGGTCATATTCTCTAATAATGACACAAAATTTAGAAATCAATGAGGGGAAATAGCCATCAAGAAAATACTCCTAGAGAACTCATGGATCTTAGGGCAGATCAAAACTAAAATTACACATCATCAAGGGGAAAAGTTGTAGCAAAAAAATATGAGTACAAGTAACAGTAAGCTCAAAAGAAAAATTATAGGTTTAAAGCCTTTTCTTTTTGATGTCCAAGTGAAGATAAAGCTTTCTTCTCCACACATTCCCTCACTGTCCAATAGTTAGGACTCTGCCCTTTCACTGCTGAGGGCCCAGATTTAATCCCTGGTCCAGGAACTAAGATCCTACAAACCACGTAGTACAGCCAAAATAATAAAAGTTAAAATTTTTTAAAAAGTTTAAGAAAAAAATCTCT